GATCCACGTACGATCTAGGCAAATCTGAAGTGCGTAGATCGTACGTTTGTTTCCGAGAACAAGACTGGTCTTGGATCGGAAGATCGACATTAGTGTGTAACGTTTGCCTCCCTTCGTACCCCTGTGGTCCCCGCTGTGACCCACTCAAGAGAGCGCGTGACACCAGAGGCCTATCCTCCGCCCTGGTGACCCTCGGCGGCACAGTGGTGAACCTTTCCAACGTGGCGGTGACCCACGTGACCTAGAGGTCACCGTTGAGGTTACATGGGTCTTGGCAGCGTTTGTGCATCATAAGTTGGGGCGCCTGGCTCAACGGATGCTCCCCACAACAACGTATGATTCTGCTTCAGCTGCTCATGCGCGAAAAAGTCGCATATCATATCTGGATTTATTATACGCGAAATAAAAATTGGAATGTAATACGTATCTGAGATCAAACGAACGACAGCGTATCGATCACTATAAAATGAAGTTGCCCTAAACACCTTGTCTTGTTGGTCTGACGAACTCTTACAGAAATGCTACCGTTCGTGGCAAAAAGGCGGTGAAACCTGCGGGGAAACGGACCGCTGGAGACTCTATCGCTTGCACTAACGCGGCGCGGTGCATGGCTGACTCTGTCGGCGTGGTGTGTCGCCCACCTGATAGGCAGATAGCTGCGAGTCTGGACCAATGACAGGGCCAGGTCTGTGATGCGCTCTGCTCCTGCAAACCGACCTTTCTTCTCGGAGGCATAAACATCAGGGTAGCGAACATCCCAGGGGTCCAGGACTACCTCAACTTGGCCAGCAACCTGAACGTGACGACATTGGTGAATCATTCCACTCACCCTCCAACAACGTCCACGGCACTTGAATATATGATCACTTATCAACCCGACCCACCACCAACTGTCGCTGTCCTGCCTGATGCCATCAATAACCATCGGGCCATCACCATCACTGCGGGATGGGATGAGCCCATCACTGGGCAGGATGAGACAGCCAGTCCAGAAACGCACTGCTCGGCTCTGGCACCGGGCTGACTGGCACGCCACCTGCCTGGACTTGCTCGCCGCTGACTGGGCAGATCTCCATGACACCAGTGATGTGGGCATGATGGTGAAATCATTTAATAAACTGTACAATGACGTCATGGGTCGTCGCCGCCCGGCCAAACTGCCCGTGTGAAGCGCCTCAGGTGCCCCTGGCTGTGTGATGACCCGCAGTCTCGGGCTGTGATGACCAAGCGGGACACAGCAAGGGGCACCTGGCCGGCCCCGCGCACCCCAGGGGCTCACACGGACTTCACACGGCGGAAAAACAGCGTTAAATGTGCCATCATAGCTGCTAGACGTGATGGCCTCTGCGGCGTGACGACGTGTGGTGGCCGTCACAGTTTTTGGCCTACTTTCAAACGATTCGCCATGATGTCATCACCAAACCGAGAAGATCCGTTAAAAGGCAACCCTGACCTGGCTGACGAATTCAATCGTCATTTCGCGACGGTTGGGTCACGGATTGCCGCCAGACTTAGAGGGAACACCGGACAGCCTCCGAGACCGCCAATAGTCTTCACGACCTCCTCCACTTTTGAGCCGCCTACGCTCCCTGAATCACCTTAGCTGATCCGGTGGAAGAGCAGCTCAGGAGCGGTGGATGTGGACGGCGCACCGATAAAAGCGGTGCGCAGATGCTTCCCTGTGATTGGTCCGCACCTTCTGCGGATCGTCAACTTCTCCCCCACAGCTCGGCCATTCCCCGGCGAGTGGAAAACTGCGTCCGTGGCACGCATCCTGAAGTCAGGTGACCCAAGTGTACCAGCTTATAAAAGGTCATATCTCTCTTAAGTGTGCTGTCCAAAATTCTTGAAAAAGTCATTTCCAGCCAGCTGAGCACGTATCCCCAAAGTATTGGTATTCCAAGCCCTGTTCAATATGCCTACCAGCAAAGTCATTGCACTGAAGGCGCTCTGCTTGACACTGTCGGAGAGGTGATGAGGAACGTCGACAGCGGAGAGATGTCTTCGCCAACTGCTGTCAACCTACCCAAGGCTTTCGACAGCGTTGGTTATGGTTTGCTGGTAACAAACTGCAGTGTGCAGTGGTACGGCGTGGACCCTGATCGGTTCAAAAGTTATTTGAGTGGTCGAAGACAGGTAGTAGGTGTAGGATTGACTAGTCTACCGCTAACCCGTGGGGTGCCCCAGGGACCGACAGTCGGTCCGCTATTATTCACCCTATCCATGGACGACTTACCCGGTCACATTGACGAATTGATCACATTGTCACATTGGCGCCTCATCTTATACGCAGATGACCTTCAACATCTGGGTCACGCAGCCCCCATCAAGCAGTCTCCATGCACTAAAACATCGTGTGGAAATATCAATTTGCGCACTTTGGGCTTGTTTCAGCGCGCTAGCTCATTGAAAATGAACAGAGGCAAAACCAACTTTGCTCTCAGGGACTCAAAACATAATGTAAAGAAAAGCTGTGCTTTTCGCTTTACGATAGATGGAGAGAATATCTCACCTTCACGGCACATCAGATTGATCGGTGTAATAGTACACCCGACGCTTTCGTGGGGTCGCCAAGTCGCCAAAGTCGTGCAAAAATGCAATGCAGCTCTTATCTCGCTGTACCGCCTCAGGCATTACTTTACACCTTATGTTCTCAAAATTTTATTTCAAGCCTACGTATTTCTATACATAACTTACCGTATTTTCGTAAGGGGTGGTGCGATCAAGTGTCAAGCACCGAGGAGTCAAAAATCATAAATCAAAAGTTGTTATTGTTATATATATCTATATATATTTCTGTAATTCACCCCCGCCCACACACACACACACACACATATATATATATATATATATATATATATATATATATATATATATATATACATATATATATATATATATATATGTATAAATGGATATAGATATAGGTATAATAAAATTAAGCAACGAATTCTCTGGTATAAGACGCAGCCAGCGTATAACACCGACTCTGGAATCTCTAGGCTGGCCCCGGATTGATGACATGGTAAAATAGAGGGGCGTGCTAAAAGAATTCAAATCACGAAGATACAAAGAATCACCCCCGGCTCTCCAATCTCTTTTTATTATTATAGGAAACTTTGCTCGTAGATAAGCCCGCGAACGAGCCGTCGACAACCCGACCCGGCCATGTGGTCCGTGCCGCTGTGGATGTGCTGGCAGTTCTTGAGACCCTGACGGTATCTCGAGCAAACGGCACACGTCAATTTCCAGCCGCTGTTTGGCGGGAACGCAATGGTGCGTACGTCTCCGCTCAAAGAAGGATCTCCATAAAAAGGCCAAAAGCCAGGAACCTACAATGTGCAGGAAGTAAACACCGATACGGAAGATCGTGTAGCTACAGCGACGAGCGCACATCACGTCGAAAAACATTTGTTACGGTACTTTTTCGGCCTGTTGTCGCGCACAGTCGCTGAACGCAGATCATTTTCATTTTTAGAGGACCTGTAAGCGGCTTGTTTTAAAACTCAAAACGGCTTGGATGGCATACCTTTTATTTGTAATAGGAGCTGACGCATCACGTGTGATTTGGATGCATGCACGCCCGCGCAATGCTAAACAAATGTAGACGGCCGCCACGTCGAAGACACCGAGGTTTTAGGTGCACTATATTTGATGACCGCCCATCGCCAACACCGCGCTTCAACTCCTCGTGGACGCTGACAGGGAAACAACAAAACCTCGGAAATGGACAGACTAGACCTAGAACTAAACAGAGCCGAAACAGACAGAACAGAGACTAAAGTTAGCAATACAAAATGAATACCAAAATAGCATGGATTGACTGACGCTAAATTAGACCTCAAGATAATCGCAAGCTAAGTGACTCAACAAACGAGAAGCGAGCACTAAATCAAACTAGAAATGCAAACGGTGCACCGACTACACAAATGCCGTTACAACAGAGGCGTATACATTAATATTTCATCGCCTGATACTCTAATTGAACTGCAATTACAAATCTATTGAACTGCAAACTGAGCATCCGTACACTGCCGCAGTCCAAAGGTAAAAACCCGTTGACCGTTTTGCGTTTTTTTATGTCGCCTGATTCGGCTACTCATGCGGAATTTGGTGATCAAAGCCACTAGTTCAAATTTTTCCAAGCTTTTATCCTATTTTTCAGCTAAGATCTTGTGCAAATTTCAACTTTTGGCTTCAATATCTGAATTCGGCACTAAGAGACGAATCAATTGACATGAAAAACGTAAAACGGCCAGAAATTAGCATATGGGGTTTTACCTTTGGACGGAAGACTGGCTCCGCAGGCATTGAACGTCCTGTTGAAACAGCGGAACAGGTTGCTGAGCAACTGCTGGCGAATATTTCGGGCCTGTTCATCTGACGTCAGTTCCCCGGCGGAATTCAGGCGTCGTTTGCGGAGCCACCGGCCAACTATGCGGGATTTTTTCATCTCCTTTGTTCTCTTCGCACAGTTCTACGACGGGCTGGCGAGGGTGTGGCCGCGGTTTAGCCGCAGCTTGGGCGGACAGGATGTGATCTGGGCGAGGGGAACGATTGGGCGGAAGTGGTGTTCGTCAAGAAACCGAACCTGCCGAAAACGCATTCTAATTTCGTTTGTTCACAACGAGCGGAACAAAAACGAGCCTTGGAAATATGGCAAACCAAATTAAAGGGATATGACGGCTTTTAGACCACGCCACCTGTGACGCTTCGGACTAAAATGCTACCACAATGAAGACGACATCGCTTCCATTATGTGTTAGAAACGCCCCTTGCTATGACGAAAGCTGCATTTTATAGTGCAAGGAGACAACTCAGCAAAAAAGAGGCAAAATCAACCCGGCAAGTGGGATCCGAATTCCTGTTCACATCACTGAAATAGCATTTTCGGTGCGCTCTCATGCCGTAGCAGGACACTGACAACAGTGGTATTTTACGGCACAGATCAAAAAGTCATAGTATTCAATTAGCAAATTTATTATTGCATCAGCCGCTCGCTGTTCCCCAAAATTCGCATCACTGAAAACCCATACCCCACAGCAGGAAGTCCTCCAGTTACAGTGCTCACATTACACTGCACCATCTGCTGTCAAGGTCTTTCTTTTGCTGTTTCACCTGGTGGTGAAGGTCTGATATTTGGTTGACCATGTTCTTCAACTTCACCTCATTTTCAACTGAGCGCTGGTAGTCACCAAACCTGGACGTCAAGTCCACAACCATGTTCTCTCGGTACGTAGAACAGAGGGATTCGCTACCCTGTTTTAGCCCCTCAAACAACTCTTCGGCTGCCTTCAGTGCTTCTGTATGACCCTGTCTCAGTTCTTCATCCGAGATAGAGCTGTTTTGAGTCGTGCTGTCCATCATAGCCTGGTAGCATTCCTTCGACATCCTCACCGCGTTGGAGTTTTGCTGCGCACATTGCCGTGTTCTTTCCTCCTTTTTTACTTCGTTGTGGAGCATAATCTGTTTGTGCTCAAAATGGATGGCATCAGCTAGACGAGAACGACATTCTGAAGTCTTGTCAGCACCAGCCTTCTCGGCATCAAACCGCGCGAGGGCCTTTTTCATCGCGCAACCGTGTACTCTGTCTAGCTCTTGGGGTGGAACATGCCCAACCTCCTCACCAGTCACGGTCTGCATTGCTTGTGCATAGGTCGCTCTGCAGGACTCTTTCAGGCTCGCGTTAAACTTTTCCGCCTTCAGCCGTTCTTCTTCAAGCTTTATCTTGTTGAGCCTCTCAACGGGCTTAAACCACTCTTCCATCTCCTTGAGCAGTTCGCCGTGGTTGAATTCCGATACTTTCCAGTCTCCCATCTTCTTGCGGTTCTTGAACGTGGTTTCAGCCCTGTGCGTGGATTCAATGTGATGCCTGAACAGGTCGCCTTCACTCAGCGCAGATCTGTCGCCGCCCAGGACACTCTCCATGTCTTTGATGTACTGTAACCTCGCTTCCCGGCGTGCTACCATGTTGTTGGTCTCGGCCGTCACTTGGAGAATGTTCTGTGGCTTGGGGATCTTGTCGCCCTTGAACAGGTCCAGGTACATTTTCAGGTAGTTTGCCAGATCTCGGGCTTTCATGGGATTGCCTGCGACCGTTCTGATCTTCAGGTTCCCTGGTGCCAGGAGAATGGGCATCAACTCATTCAGATACTGGACAAAGTCCTCCTCCATGTCCCCAGCACATACGTTTAATTTTCCGCCGCAGGCGACTTTCTTTCCGGGATATGGCAGTAGAAATCCGCTGATCTCAGTAAAACAATCTCTTATATGCTTGCGGACTTTTTCTTGCTCCTGATTCCCACTGGGTTCTTTGAGCCATTCGTCAATAACTTCCTTGCCTCCGGCTGCTCCCAGCGAAATCTCAGTGAACTGCCAGTCACGGATAAGGAAGAGTAGCTTCTGGAAGGGTGCGCCGCTGCCTTCATCATCGAGCGCCATGCGACCGTACTCTGTGAACAGCTGCAGATGTTCCAGATCATCGTTCTGCACGTTATTCATCAAGTTGAAGACTACCAGGGAGCTGAGCAGCGTGCTGAGTGCAAACACCGTAGCCGACTCCGCGACCGTTGACTTGTTGTCGAATGCTCCCTGTGTATCCACGAGCAGGACGACAGCCTCCTCTCCCGATGGCAGAGTCACCGGAACAGGGCTTGACATGAGCATACCAGTGGTGTGGCGTTTATAGCCGCCCTGCCATGGAAACCCCACGCCGTGGGGCTCCTCATTCATCCAGTTGGTTTTGTCCTTCGCGCATAGATAGCGAAACATCATGTCGAGCAGGAACGATTTTCCCTTGCGGAACGCGCCGGCTACGGAGATCGGCACGACGGGCTTATCTATGACGTCGTCAGCAAGAAGAATTGACTCCAGATTTTCAACATGGAGACGAAAAGTATGGTTCTCTCCCGAAGAGAGAATCTGTCTTGCTCTTGTCATGTTTGCCTCCATCTGAAAAGAAACATTTTTCGTTTGTGCAATCAGCTCTGGTTAAAGGAATATTCCACATGTGAATATATCAAAGCAAGCATCAAATAGGATGAAACACGCTCAGTCCTTATAATTGGAATACTTTATGTGGAAAGATGGCTCTCGAGAGCACCATATCTGGTTTTAGCAAATATGCTCCATGATCCGCCGTTGTTTGATTGCGTCATCGTACCTTGCACAACACTAATTGAGAGCCAATGGGTGGCCGTTTTATCTGGAAATTGTGCTCACGAGCTCCAGACATGAACGATTCGACAATTGTAGTTTCCTGGCCTTGATCGCTGCATGGCCAATGTATTGGAAGGATTTTAATAACGTTGCTATGGCGTCATGAATGCATGGGATCTTTAAATAGTCTGTACAAAGCATTGTGCACGTACATCATGTTACACCGCATGCAAATAGAAAGTGACAGGAAATGATATTTTGCCTTTGCATGCGGCCTTGAAATGAGATGAGCATGATTTAAGGTGCCGTGCTTTTACACATAAAAGTCGACATTTCCTTAGCTGTATGTCGATGCTCCTGGTAGGTTGAATATGGTGGTGCATATGGTATACTTTTTATGAAATTGCCGACAATGGCGGGCTCAGTATTTTTGGGCTGGCTTACTTGATCCACCGAAAGCAATTAATAATGGACGTTACAGATGCGTTTAACTCAGTCATGTTCAATCGTCGGCCTCTCCCAAAACATAAATTTATTTGCTAGTTAAATTGTTGTGAGAAATGCGAACAGGAGTCTGTGCAAATCTGTGTATTTCGTCACTTAAGGAGGGATACCGCACGCTGTCAGTTCTTTGTGACATATTGACTACCAGGAGGGCGCTTCGGGAGCATTGCCGGGGCGGACAGTGTCAATGGACGAGAAAGTAGGTAGTTATCTACACGCCTTCGTGCTGTTTTGCTTGGCGTCGTGTTTTAACACTTAGAGCGCAGTTCCGATTAAGCCCAACGTTCATCTGCAGATCTGTCCCCGGAATGATTTCACGAATGTGAGCCTCATTTTTTGGCGTAAGGTCAAGTAGTTTTGAACAGTGGCGTATCAAACCTGAGCGACGGCTGGTGCTTCAATCTGCAGAAAGTCATGTCACTTTTGCTTCGTTTTTTTCTCTCGTTTCTTAACAGAAAGGAAAAACCATAGGCTTTCTGTCGAGCTTGAATGAATTGCCTTGATGCCAGGTGCCTTTTTGTATGCTGTTTTCATCGCAAACAACGCACTTTTTTGGCAGGCACTCTCGAATGCGCAACATTGCCGGAGAGGGGATCCTGCATCGGCCGTTTTAAAAACTAGGAATTTATCAAGATTTAAGAGCAATTCTGTATTGGTCGAGGCTGCTTTCATTGTTTGCTCTCGGTTGAGCGTTATCTGTTTGACTCAGCGATGAGCCTCGCGCCAGTACAGAAGCTCATTTTTGGTAACATTGCTTTGAACTGTCTCGTTGCCACCCCACTCAATGGGCTTCAGCACATGATGTTAAATTTCTTTGCGCCGATTTCGCAGCCTGTCGTAGCAAGTTTGACGTCATTCTTGACAAGTGCAGCCGACGGCATCGTTTGCCACTGATGGCATGAGTCACTCCAAAGCTGTGAGAACAAGGTGCGGGGGATGGGAAAGCTCACTTCTCTTGAAAGTATGCTTTTATCCCTGCAATGATAAATGAAAATAACCGACTTTCATGGTGTTTCCGGCCCATGCGCCTCTCGTGATGAGCTGTTATTACTGCCATGATGCGTGGCTTTGCACCGGCCCCAAAATGCATTTCGGCAAGGCTTTTCCGGTGCATTTTCGCAAAACTCACAAATGCGCAAAAAGTAAACGTTACCACAAACATCATGCAAACGTGCACCGTAACCCACGGGAAGGAAAAAATGGCATGAGAACAGACTTTGTTTCGACAATTTTGAGGCCTGCCTACGCCCGTCGGGCCGTGACTCACAGTACCGAACAGCTTACGCCTCGAACGCCACGCGAGGCGCCTAAATCTGCTCCAAAAGATTAGCACGCCCACTCATCCTCCCTTCGGAGTCATCGCGACGCCGTGACTCAAACGACTCAGGCGCCAGAGCTTGCCTCCAAGCCTGTCACCTGTCGTCTGTCCCCTGTCGCCGGTCCGCCTGTCCGCCTGTCCGTCCGTCTGTCTGAACTCACCGGCGGGCGGCGAAGGTTGCACCGACAGGGGTCTGCAGAGTGGGCCCGTCTTCGCCGACGGCAGGGGCGTATCTGTGCTCAGCCGCACCCGACGAGTCGGTCAGCGCGGCCAGCTGGCTTATCTGCACCGGCCACGTCAGCGGGGGCTTCCACGCCGTTCGGCGGGGTCAGCGGGCGGCTGGGCGCCGCGGAGCTGCATCTGCGAGTGCCAGGGCGCAGCCAGGGTTTTGTTAAGCAGGCAAAGCTCGGCGAGGCCGCATCACGGCAATTATTGCCTTTCTGTCGCCAGCCAGTTATGCTGAAAAGCCGAAGATCCGAAGCGAAGGGATGGGCTGCGCTTGTTGAGAACAAAAGCAAGCTAACTGTGAGAGAAGTCCAAGCCAGCCACATTCTTGCCTCGTTTCTTATAGGTCGTTGACGTTTAATCAATCCTTCCATCACCAAGCGCTACGCACTGGTGCTAGGAATCCCCACGGATATACTTAAAAACAAACTTATGGAACACCCCCCCCCCCCCTTGGCTACGCTCTGGACAAGTGCAGTTCATGTCTAATGACAGTGTCTAAATCGGGAAGAAGTAGTGCCTTATTGAAAGAGCATGATGAAATGCTCAAACTCTGGCGTCCGCATCGGGCATTGAATTCGAGTTCAGTTCAGTTGCATTTAGTTCAGTTCAGTTCCATTCAGTTCAGTTCAGTTTATTTGGGATCATTTCGCGCAGCGGGCTTCTTTTCATTCCAGTCAAGTACATTACAGGAGACATAGAGCAAACCAATGCACTGCACAGTCACGCACGACAGTTGAACTGTAACCACGTGATCACAACTTGTCATACGACTGTCAGCTCAAAATGTCCCAACTGGCGATCTCCACGAGCGAGGCTGAGCCCCGGCGATCCCCACGGGCGAGGCTGAGCCTTGGCGAGTGTGCCGCCTCCGTGCTCTTAGTGTGATATCGATAATATCGATAAAGCCGATAAGCAGGTAGTGCGGTTCACCGCGATTGCTCTGGGGCGTTTGAACCGCGTGGCAGTAGATAACACCGGTGCAAGGGGGAGGGGTGGGGGCAGCGACTTTTCCTGGTTGCAGGCATAGGGCAAGTATGCGGCAAGCAGATAACAGGCGAGCGACAAGCAGGCGCAGGCAAGCGGCAAGCCATTGTATGCAACGGGTAAGCAAACATGGGGCAAGCATTGAGTCTCCTTAAATGACATGGAACATTCCTACCCTGAAGATGTTTCCTAAAAATATCATCTTCCCAGAAACACACGTACACACAAACAGAGAGGGGAGAGAGAAAGAGAGAGCGGGTATATATACATTATTTTTTCACGCGACTCGTTTTCTTAAGTCTCTTAATAGCACACTGTAAAACAAAGCTTTGTCCTGGCCTAGGGGGAGGGGGATCACGGCTGGTATAATGGCTAGGGCCAGGGGTGCAGTTTTGAAAGTGAGTTACGGGGCCTGAACGGGCAGAAAATGATATAATCTACCCCGAAAAGTTCTCAAATGCACCCTTTTCTCCCCGGATTGTGTCCAGCTTTTCATCAAAGCTAGAGGGAGCGGAGTTCAATGGGGGGGGGGGGGGGGGCTGAAACCACCTCTACCTCCACACTGGATAGGAAACTGCCACTCCTGGTTAGGACGTTCGGCTCTGGGGCTGCTGGTTCTGGGTTCGAGTCCCTACCACGCTACTACTGCATCCCGCATGCTCCTAATAAAGGCGTCCCGTCCTGAAGTTGGCTTGGTAGTCGGTGAGACGTTAAGCCTCAATCACTATTTTCATTACTGGTCAGGTAGGTCTCCGGTATTACTATCGGGGTATGCCGTTAAGCTGGCGGGGCTTGCCGTGATATTTTTGATCGCTGATCGCGATCGTCTGATCGCGATCGCTGATCGCGATCGTCGAACATTTCCAGAGCGGAAGGAGTGTACTGGTCGCAAAAGCAGAACACTTCAAGAGCGGAAGGAGTGTACTGATCGCGATCGTCGACACCAAGAACGGAAGGAGTGTACTGATCGCGATCGTCGAACACTTCAAGAGCGGAAGGAGTGTACTGATAGCAAAAGCAGAACACCTCAAGAGCGGACAGACCCGCCGCAGCGTCGACGGGAGTTGAGCCGCGATGTGACGACGGCAAGACCTGACGTAGAGACGGGAGGTCCCCGTCTGGCTTCATTCATTTCAGCTTACCACACAGATCTCCTCCAGCATGTTGGGCAGAGGGGTTTTTGTCGGTGTTGTGAATGCGGGCAGACCAACACAATGCGCGCCCTCTGCAGGGTCAGCGCTACCACGGGTAGTGAATCACAGCCTCGTAACCGACCACCAGATGGCAGCATGGTGTCCGTGAAGAGACGGGCTGGCGTTGGTAGAACGCGCGCCTGCTCGCAGACCGTCCCCATGAAGAGGCTTTCACTCCTCCTGCCATCTATCAGCGGGGTTTTGAATCACACCACGTGATCGCAGTGTTAAACAGAACTTTGACCGCATGCCCACCACCTCCAAGGCGATCATCATTACCAGTGGTTTTGTATGGCTAGGGATAGCCTGAAGGAAATCAGGGTTGATAAGGCGGTCGGACCTGACCAGATGTATGGCAGAGTACTGGATGAGTGCGCTGGTGCTTAAGCTTGTTCTCTTTCGTTAATACTAAACAAGTCCCTGAGTTTCTCAGAAATACCCGAGCAGTGGCGCAATGCCAATGCGATCCCAATATTTAAGAAGTGAGCAAAAAAGTGTCAGCAAATACAGTTCTATTAGTCTTTACTCACTCGCATGCATGATCTTAGAGAAATTAATTACGGCTAGCTGTCAGTCACACTTAGATACGGATCATTTGCTGAATAGTAGTTCGCACGGGTAGGGCTTTGCGCATTTCATCCGGTTGGCCGAAGCCATGAGCCTTGTCCATTCTTGGGACACATACTTTGACAAATTTTGTTTACTTTACTTTGCGATCATAATTTCGACTTGATATAAGATAAAAGCTCCTTTCACTACCGGTATTTCGGTATCATGAACTCAAAGTTCTTGCGTTGGGTTAACGACCTGCGACATAGCTGGGGGCACTGATTAAACGAAGCTGAAGTGATTAGCAATGAGCGCATTAGGAGCACTCAACATTTCGAGCTGTCCTTATCATGAAGAGCCCATCTCTTGAGAATGGGCGCAGAACAGCAGATGGACGTTTGTATTTACTAGTAATGTTTTTTCCCAGTACATCGATTTTGCATCCTGTTTTGGTTCAAAAACGGATCATTTCCTGGAGAAGAACCGGTCACTATCTGGCCACAGCACCTGTCTGCTAAAGTGAACACTGCACGTGCGCACAAATGGTGCCGCTTCGAGGCCCCTTCAGGAGGCTACAGGAAGGCGCTGTTTCAAGAGGCTGTTCGCACTTTTTGCTGACGATATTAAATTGGCAGGGCTGTCGACAAATCCTGATCAGGTGAACCAGATTCAGCTTGACTTAAATGAACTAGTGAACTGGAGTTTTCCGTGGCAGATGTCATTCAATTATGATAGGTGTAAGGTGATGCATCTGGAGGATGCACCCGAGGGCCTCGACCTGATGCGACGGCGAGCTCCGGGGGGGCACGGGCCCCCGGAGACAACCGAGGGCCTCGGCAGGATGCGACGGCGAGCTCCGGAGGGGCACGGGCCCCCGGAGACAACCGAGGGCCTCGACAGGATGCGACGGCGGGCTCCGGAGGGGCACGGGCCCCCGGAGACAACCGAGGGCCTCGACAGGATGCGACGGCGAGCTCCGGAGGGCACGGGCCCCCGGAGACAACCGAGGCCTCGACAGGATGCGACGGCGGGCTCCGGAGGGGCACGGGCCCCCGGAGACAACCGATGGAGATGCCGCCCGGCGCGACGTGGGCTGGGCCTTCTGACCTTCTAACCTCCGATGACCTTCTCGTCTCCAGAAAACACCCTGGCCGTGGCGGCCCCGTACTGGTGGGAGGGATGAAGGGAGGGGAAGGGGTACGAACCCATCTGATCAGTGTCGCGTAGTGAGAAGCAGACCCCGCCGGCTCCCCGCCCTCTCCCACCGCCCACTGAGCTCTGGTAAGAGGGCCGAGACCATGCGATGAGGGCAATGCGTCTGGAGACTCCCCGATCACGAGCGCACACTCGACATCGGCGCCCCGATCGGACGGCCTGTCGTCGGCTGTGCGGCGTCACGGGGAATCCCAGGGAACCCCCGGTGCTGCTGACTATGGCCTCCATCGACAACCGAGACCACCGCCTGCGCACCGGTTGCTTCTGGCACAGAGCCAACGACGCATGCTCGCGGCACTACGGTGGCTGTCTGCCATGAGCATTCTCGTTCAGAACGGGGACGTCCAGGGACAGGGACAGCGTTCGGGGACGTGATTTAGCTTCATACAGCGGAGTTATGGATGTGCATTTGTTCAAATTGTGTCTTGTAAGCATTCCAGCCGGCAAAATCCGCCTTTGCCTGGCCTCTCCATTATCAAACCATTGATACACGGGATGCGTTGGTCAGACTATGCTAATTTTGGTCTACGAGCCTATACGACGCAAGTCAAAGCGCGTAGATTGTACTTCTGTCAATGCTCCTGCCGCTAACCTGGCCGGGTGCTCCTGGTCGCACAGGGGTATTAATTCATGGTCTTGGGTAATTCCCCTTTGCTCAGAGGGCCCTGTACCCTGGCCTGGGCTCCATATGTCAGCCTGCCGAGGAACCACCGGTCGTTTAGGGGCGCACCACTTTGGTTCTGGGCTCCTTTCGCTTGCTCTGAGGACCGTATGCTTGTTAACAAGAGCCTGTTTGTTCGCCGCAAATCAAACGATCTACGATCAAATCTCGATCAAATATCGATCTACAATCGAACGATCCACGTACGATGTAGGCAAATCAGAAGTGCGTAGATCGTACGTTTGTTTCCAAGAACAAGACTGGTCTTGGATCGGAAGATCGACATTAGTGTGTAACGTTTGCCTCCCTTCGTACCCCTGTGGTCCCCGCTGTGACCTACTCAAGAGAGCGCGTGACACCAGAGGCCTATCCTCCGCCCTG